CAGGACCCTGGGACCATGACCTGAGCCTAAGGCAGATGCTTAATGACTGAGCCACCCAGGTGCCCCAATTTTGTGTTGTTTTAAGGCACCACATTTGTGGTAATTTGTTACAGCAGCAATAGGAACAGTGGGGTGGAGACCTGAAGGGAGTGAAGGAGTGAGCTATGACTACATCTTGGAAGACCATTCCAAACGGAGGAGAGCAGATGCAAAGGCCCTGAGGCAGGAAGCAGTGAAGACGGGGTTGTGTGGCTGAAGTGGAGTGAGCAAGGATCCGAGCCAGGTCTGAGAGGCAGCACGACCTCATGGGCCAGCAGAAGACCACGCATTTGACTCTAAATGAGATAGAAAAGTATCGCAGGGGTTTGAGTGAAGGAGAAGCAAGAGCAGGCCAATATTTAAGGTTTATTCTGGCTGCTGAATTGAAAATAAACTGCAGAGAGGAAGGGCAGAAGCTGGAAGGACAGTTCAGAAACTTCTGCATTGCTTCAGACAAGAGATGATGACGGTTTCGACGAGGTGGCAGGAGGTGATCAGATTCATGATTACATTTTTTTGAAGGTAGAGCCAAGAGGATTTGCTGAAAGATTGGATGAAACGTGTGTGAGAAAAACTAAAGTAAATAGCCCTGCAAGGTCTGTGGCCCAAGCAACTGCAAGAACTGCCGTTGAGTAAGACAGGAAAGCCTGGGAGCAGGGGATTCAGGGGCTGGATGAGCAGGACTCGGGGCAGGACATCAAGGGCAGAGGTCTTTGGAGTCAGCACATAAATATTATTTTGAAACCATGATTCTGGACGAGATTACCGAGAGTAAGTGGACAGAGAGAAAAACCGTCTGAGGACTGAGCCCAGGGCACTCCATCCAGCGAGGTGAGTCAGTGAGCTGGGGGAATGAAGAAAGGGGTTTCTGGAAGCCAACTTGAAGACATCGGTTTAAAATAACTCTCGAACTCCAGCCCCAAGCCCAGCACCGTGGGGTGATTGGCCCAAATTCATCAAGCACTTCATACGTGCTCGTTCCCACGGTATGCGTGTTATAGACCCCTGTCATTCGATCCCCTCAACAACTCCAGGAGGTAAGTAATATCCTTAACCCATTTCACAGATAATTAAATTGAGAGGGAATTATGCTTTAATTAATTAAACGTTTGCCCATGCCCCTATCTCCTTTCCTTCTTAACTGCTTGCGCTTGGCCTCATCCATGAAGAGCTCCGACCGGACTCATTCCATCGAAGCCCCCAACCTCTCAGCAAACACACAGATGAACGACCCCCGGCTTAGTTTGGTCACGGCTGACACCCCACTCAGGCAATGTGTATCGTCGAGACTCGAGTGAGTTCCTTCCAGGGCCACAAATGTGTGGTGGTTATGAGCTCCAAAGGCTTACTTATGGAGATAAAGACCCACGTGCAGAGAAGTGTGATTTACAAGAAAATGAAACGCTTTTTTACACATCCAACATTTTTTACCGAGGTCAAAATTCAGTGAAGGTGTGTTTTTCTTTTTCATCAGACATCGTTTGTATTGGTTGATTATTTTAAAAAGCATGATAGGCTCAAACGTATCCTCACCCCACCCCCCACCTGCCACCAGGTGGCAAATACCACCCCTGCCTATGGAGCCATCCGTGGACTTGGGTTAGCCATTTTGGTGGTTTATGGGGAAGCTGGCCATTCAGTAAATGAGTCTGAGCATAGAAACTTTTAAGAAAAGTATTCATTTCCTTCATCTGTGGTCTGAATTTTTATTTTATTTCCAATAGAACTGTACATCCCCCAAGGGGATGACACCTTCAGGAATCATCTGCTGCTACGCTTTACACTGGGTGGGTGTCCTAGGTACCCGACTCTAGCCAGAAAGACGATGCATCTTCTATGATGACAGCAGGGGGAGCCCCTTCTCTCCAGTGTTTCAAGGCTGTTTGCTATTTCCCCCTTGGACAAAATAACCAAGAATCTATATTTTTAGTGGTACACAATCACTGCGCCCAAGTACCTAATGGGTATCACGTACACCCAGTGCCTTCTCATGTCTGGCTGACAGATGAAAAACCGAAAAGCTGTCATCGAGATAGTCCAGTCTGATCCCTTTGCCCCTACTAAATACATGGTAATTAAAAAAAAAAAAATAATAATTGCAAATAGAAGCACAAAACTTCATTGAATTGCCTGGAAATGGCCACACAAAGCCCAAGAACATCTGGAGATTTCCTGACCTCCATTCCAACGTTGTGTATCTGGTACAGAATTGGACAGACCTGAGGCGGGTTCTCATAAAGCCTCTCTCAGCATAATTCCCTCTCAAAGATCTTTGTGAAGGAGCCGAGCAGGTGACTCAAGAGTCGCCGTGTCAAGAACAATAGTCACAGGAAAAGAGCAAGAATAGCTTCCTAGGAACCGACCTGCAACCTGAGAAGCCTTCTGAGTTCCTCGATAAAATATAGAAGGAGTGGGCTGTTTTGTAGGAATTCATCTCAAGCTTCTCAAATGTTTTTGTGCCTGCTGTCTGGAAAGAAATATACGTTGGTGAAGGAAGTCTTTTGCCAGACTTGTGTCTAGGTATTCTCAAGCCTGGAGCACGGCTTTATTTATTTATTTATTTATTTAATTTATTTATTTTATTTATTTTTAGCTTCCCATCCATCTTCCGCAATCACTTTTAAGCAATGACAAAAATTACTATACAACACTTAGTCCACAGTGAGGTTCCTCGGCCCCCACTGCAAGGCTGGTAACAAATGGCATTTCAGGGTCATTTTTTAAAAGGATGAGGACCCTCCTTATTATATATATTTTTTTGAGATGCTACTGCAGAGTATTAGATTTAATAATTAACAAAAATGAGAAGTTAATGAATGGCGGGGCACCTCAAGCGCCCAATGGCACCACGAGGAGAGAAAAATTTCTTTGCTGTTGTTCTAATTGAAAGAAAGGTTTCTCTATAAAAAGGCAACTCCCTTTTAGGTAGTCAGTTGTTACAGTACTTTATTTGACTTTGTAGTACCCATATGGGCATGTCCTGAGGTCTGCTTAATAAACACATTTTTATGGACATGCACCGGGCCTCGGTGTGCTTTCCCCGAAGACAGATGTCCCTTAACTATGAGTGTTTACTCCACCAGCACGGAACATTTGCCTTATTATAGCCACAGTCGTAGGGAAAAAAAAAAAAA